TAGGGCAGGGAGTTGTGGCTGGATGATCTCTAAGCTCCATTCCAATCCCTAAATTCTATGATTCTATGATGGTCTGCTAAAGTCACCTGTTGTCCTCAGGATATGCCATTCAGCCTTTTAACTTTGCAAAACTCCACAGTGAAAGTTAAAAAGGTGCACAATTATGCATATAATCTTGCAGTAGTGGTGGTAAGATTACTGGGTCACCATCAGAGGAAAGGAATAGTATAAATCTCTCCAAGGGCAGATTCTTCATGTCATTAAAGTGATCAGGAAATCTCAATTTCTCCCGAAAATCTTCTTAGTGAATTACATAAACCTCTGGTAGTAGTTCGTGTGGATGTAGCTGGAGCATCATACTCCAGTAGCCCCTGGATGTGTGTTTGGTTCTGGCTTTTTGGCTAACTGTTAAGAAGATTTTATAGGTCGTGTTATAATGCACTTGTTGTTTGTTCCACAAAACTGATCTCTTTGGGAACACTCACTATATGTGCAAGGTGTGTGTGGTCAGGGCTTGGAGCTGGGATCTCACTAACAATTTTTTTTATCCTTCCAAACTCAGAAATGAGTTAATGGTTGTAGTTATTAGTTGTTATTTTTGTTTGTGGTCCACTAAAAAGACTAATGTCCAAAATGTTCTGTATTAATAAAGTCTCATTACTTCCAGGACACACTACCAAGAGTGGCTTAGAATTTTGAAGAAAATGCAGGTAATGGTTCTGAGAACTATGGACTGCTGCTGGGGCTTAGCTCTAACCTAGTGCTGTCAGTTCTGTAGTAGAATTTCTAGTAGAAATGAAGACTTCATCATTATTTTAAGTTTTGAGAGAGTAATCAGTCAAACAGAGACACTAACAAAAGGCAAAGCCATGACATTTCAACATTCTGTGTCATCATGTGTAATCATCTGTAAATGACAGAACATAGTTTCATAGTATGTTAAGGGGTTGGAATGGACCTCAGAGATCATCCAGCCCCAACCCCCTGCCTTGGGCAGGGACACCTCCCACCAGAGCAGGTTACTCAAGGCTTCATCCAACCTGGCTTTGAACACTGCCAGGGCTGGGGCAGCTACAGCCTCCCAGGGCAACCTGTGCCAGTGTCTCACTACCCTCACAGCAAAAACTTCTGCCTAAGATCTAACCTAAATTTCCCCC